AATCAATATGTAGTAGACAACTCGTATGAATAGGCGTATTTAGTTAGTGGTTATCATAAATAACATCTGTTAACGCTTTAATTGATATTTAACAGTATAAATATGTATGTGTAATCGAATAACAAATATTTTAACTATACACAGTTTATCATATAATTACGTATATATTTAAGCGATTGATAGTTATAGAAAAGCATACTTTTCTTAAATCAAATATTTTTGATACAAAAAAAGATGTATATATGAGGCCATATATAAGAAAGTTATTGCTTAATATTAGAGGTATTTTTCTCACGTTGTAATAGTTAGCAACAGATAGCTGAAATGAATTTATTGTATTTTACCAAACAAATGCTAAAATAATAGGTTATTCTATTATCTCATCATGTGTACTATTTTGGTGGATATGCTACGCTGGCCCTCAAGGCCTTTCATAAGCAAATCTCACGAGTTGTTTTTTTTTTTAGTGTCACTACCTTCTCTCTTCAGAACAAAAAAAGGCTAAAGCATTCTTCTTATTTATTTCAATCAATAGAGCTCCTGAAACAAGTACAATAAAAGATAAATCAAGAATTTGAACAAGTTTAGCCTTAAAACGTTTATTTAAGCGAAAAATGACTGAAATTACAAATTTTTTCATTGTCACTCTGTTTTTTTTTTTTAATAACTTTGGGAAGTTTTCAAATAGAATGTTCATATTAGAAGCAATGGACGTTGGCATCAAATGCAACATATCTGTGTAGTTTCAAGAGTGTGCCACCAGATTAAACAAAATGGCAGCCTACAGAATATCTGTCGCAGCTATTTTGTAATTTTTCAGAATTTAAGATTTTTTAATTTTAGTAATTTAAGATAATTAAACGTGTTAGCTCGTGTACCCACGAGTACGAGTTGTTATTTTGACTTTTTTAAGTATATCCTTTTTAAGTTTTCGTTTAAATACAATTTCGCGATGGAATCTTATTCTTTATGCAAAAGTGAAGATAGTGCATTGTCTAAGAAGAGTGTGCGACCATTGGCGCCAAAACCAGGTTTTTTGTCGAAAAATGTAACAACTCGTGAGATTTGCTAATATAAATACTATCTATATATAGAATGACTGCGTTTGCAACTGTTTGATTACATTCCTCTTTAAATACTTTCTTCTATTAGAAATATTAAAAAAAAAAATTCTTTACATACATACATCAGTCTTGAATGTATATCTTATGAATTTAAACAAAACAATGGTCCAAAAATAAAGTGCTTATCATAACCTTACGACACTCACATATTGGCAAGGTTTGAATATTTATTTTATTATTTTTTAATTTTAATAATTATTTTATAAAAGTTTGGTTTATTTTTAAACAAAAAACGTATAAATCCAAGAGTGACTTCCCCAAAAATTTTGAGCTTTTTAAGTAGATTTCCCAGAAAGATTTTGAGTATGCAGTTTTGTAGCCAATTCAATTTTAGTATAACAAAATGCAAGTTTTAAGTAGCTGAGGCTTTCCGTTGATTTTTGGATTTTTTTTATGTCAGTAATTTTCTTCCATACGAAGTATGTTCGACGATTTTTTTATATGAAGAAAATGAGCACCACTTTCAACGAAAAAAAAAATGCCAAAAATCAACGTTAAGTCCCACCTACAATAAACTTACACTTTATTATATTAAAATGAAATGGATTACAAAACTGCATACTTGTTAAAGAAAAAATTATATTTTGATAGTTAATTTGATAAACAAATAATTAAAATTAAAAATAAATAGTCAAATGTTGTCAATATGTGGGTGACGTAAAGTTATGATAAAAACCATGTATATGCATTTAATGAAAAAAAATGAAATAAAATTATTGTGAAATTTTTAATTATACTTTATATTTTTATTTTTGTTAATCCATCACTGTGTTCTTGCAACTGTATACTTATGTAATAAATGTATTTAAATAGTTTTTGAGCAAGGAAGACCGACTTGTTGCTGCAGTACTTAGTAAAAAGATTGAAATACAGTTACTAATGCTAAAACAATAATTGAAAATGAATTCAACTTCTTAAAAACACATTATTCTGTGTGCAATAACTAGATTTCATAGATTCGTTTCAACTTTTAGTTGTTTTCGTAAATTGACATAAATAAATCTTAGATTTTATATTACATACCGATATGCAGCGGAAATTTTGTAGTTGCTACAGAACACATATTCACTACTTGTTATATCAAACTCAACATTTAAATCCATCTTCGTTTCTTAAATAGCTTTGTAAGTTGATGAAATGTGATTTTACTGAAGCAAAACTTCTATCGCCGCATGAGTGCGATTGTTTTTCTCGTCACTGTAGTCTCGTTCGTCTCGCGGCAGAGATAAAATATTCGACGAGAATGAGATGAAATCATGTATGTACGTATGTAGCTTGGCACAAAACCGCAAAAAATTAGTATAAACTTGGTACTTTTTTTTGTATAGGGCAATCATGACTGTAGGAAGTAAATTTTAGCCCCACCCATTTTAATTCGGGTTTGAAAGGGGTAGATAAAGGAAAGATGAGCCAACATCCGTCGGTATGGGATTTGGAATCTGTAATTTTTGCCAAAACAGATTTATTTTAGCATAAAAATATGGAATTCATCACAGAAGGAACACTAGCCCCACGGTTGGCAAGTTCCCATTGATCCTGTGTTCGAAAGTAAAGTCAACTTTTGAAAAATATATTAAAACGTGACATGACAGCTTTTAGTAGAGTTTATGGCAACCAATGCCCTCGGGATAGATCCCAAAGCCGTATTATCAAAAGCTCCTACAAAATGTCTATAGAGCTATTTCCGTAGATCAGCGGCCTCTTTCGATATTACTAACCAAGTACTGTAGGGATAAATCCATTGATTTCCCGTACTTAACTCGCAGTTAATTTACGTTCAATTTCTGCGTTAATCTCGTATTTCCAATGACATAATTAACGAATTCTAATCCGCATTTCTTTCTCTCTAAATTGCAAAGGGTACGCAGGCGGTCCGTTTGCCGAGTCTTCCAGTTTTCACTTAGCACCTTCTGAAAAAGCAGTTCGCTTTGATTATAGAGTCAGAAGTCTGGCATCTTTCCAAGAATACCTGTTTGGAGTTTCTTTCAATATAAAGTGTCGTTGGATAGTTGAAACTGCAGCTCCATCGCGGCTGCTATTTCCTGAATAAAAATATGGCGAGGAGTCCATCCTAGAAGCGACCCTAAAGCCGCAGTTGAGTAGGTTCGAATCGATCAAGTGGCGGAGAAACATGCCAAGCGTGGTTTTTCAGTCTTCTGCCAGCAGAATCTACATGCATGTTAATATTCAATAACGAAATAAATTTGTGTTAGGTTCCGAAGAAGGGTTTGACCATATCTATTCGCCGAAATCTAATGTTAATTTAAGATTAAGTAGAGATCGGATTGTGGAACGATTCCTATATTTATAGTAATGAAATTCGATGGTCTTTGGAATGAGTAGAACAAGGTATGTATATATGTATTTATGCAAATTTATTGTGCCCCTAATGTACGTATACCTGTGAAGGCGGTTACATTTAGACTAATCTATAATAATGATGTATTTTGGAACAAATTTCCTACATTTATTGTCAAATCTGTAGCTCGTTTCTGTAACTCTTCTCTACCGATTATTTCTCTACTGGTAGAGAATATACGTCATTCTCTACTACTCATTAGCAATAGAGAACAGGGCGGCGAATTCATATCTCAATTCGCCTTGGTAGAGAATTGTTAGAGAAACGAGCTACTGGTTTGAGAACAAACCGGTTTTGTTATTGTGACATCTTCGGTTGCAATGAATGACAGAAATTTGTTCCAAAATATATCATATACTTAGTTATTGACAAGGATTTCGGTGTCGTTTCTGAAACTTATAATAAATAATAATTTTCCTATGAAAAATTACAGCCATTCGACCACAATAATGATTTGTCTCAAAAGGATCGAAAAGTTCTTTAAATTATTTATTAGGAAAAGGCTGTAGCGCCATTGTTTGGTGTTAGTAAAAACTCACCTTTTATCAATTCAAATGAACTTAAATCGGTTGAGAATTTACAAGAGTTTAGAATGCACTGCACTTTCCTAAATAATACATATTTGAATAGCGAAAATGCCTTTTCTCTTTTTTTCTCGGATATATTTCTTTTAATAAATTTCCATTATTTCTCAGTTAAAATTCAGTTCATGCTACCGTGCAACAGTCAATTTCCCACAGAAAAAGAAAAACTCAAGTGGCCAAAACTCGTATAGCTGCTTTTAGTATTTTCTCTATCAGGATTTTTAAGAACAACTTTAAATTACACGGGTATAATTAATTAACAAAAAAAAAAAACATTTAAAAAATTTAGTGCAATATAGAATAATAATCAGGGTATCAAATAAAAGAAAAAATTTTATAGAAATGGAAAAAATTAAGTTTTTGGTGCACAAGAACGAATAGAGATTGAAAATGTTTTTGTAAAATCATATACCTCAATACCCTTGAAAGTTTTCAAAGTTTATTTTTGAAAAAAATATATGTTAAGGATTAATATAAACACGACCACAACCTAGAATTTCATCCTTCTTACTTTACTAGCTTGAAAAAAAAATTAATTAAAAGCACATTTTCAATAAGTATCTTTTCGTCCTTGTGATCCAAAAAGCTTTACTTTTAAAATTCTACAAAAGCAAATTCTCTCAAAAGCAATAATAAATAAATAAAAAATGTATTAAATTTTCATCTAAATTTAAAATTTTGTACACATATTTCCGTTTGAAGTTTTGTAGCCTATTCAATTCTTGTTGATTTTAAAAATCGTTTTTTAATGACGCTCTGCCGTAATTTGTTCTTTAATACATGCACGCATTTTTTTCGTGCTAAAAAATAAATTGTTGAATATAATTTTTATAAAGGCCAAAAAAATAACAAAAACAAAAAATATCAGTAAAAAAATAACGGTTAATTGCTGTCTTTTTTGATAAAAGTAAAAAAAAATTAAATGATATAGAATTAACATTCCTTGGCGAACAAGCATCACATTGCTATATACAAATGTTAAAAAGACTAATTCTTTCCGACTGACTTTTAGAATTGAAATTTTGAAAATAACTATTATTTTCTGGCCCTGAATTAAATAAAAGAAAAATAACCCAGAAAGAAACGCAAGAAAAAGCATTGTCCCTATTCAAATGCATCGGAGTGTATGTAACTTTATCTTAGTTTGAAACAATTGTTTGAATTTCTTAATAAATATACTTGTTAATCGTAATTCACTAACTGATTTAATTGAAGTTTCATTTCTAGTTATAACAAAGTATGTGTATACCAACGCTAGTAAATAGTGTGTACTTGCCTATGTTTTCTGAACTTTTGGTATAAAACGTGCCTATTTCTAAGGGCTTCTACTACATTACATACATATACATAAATAAGTTATTATTTGCTATTTAGATCATCGGCATACATACATACATTACATTCGATTTATGTACTCTTTGGTTCACATTGTGACTCCTGCTTTTGATTTAACGGTAGTGATGTTTCCTCAGGCTCAATTTCCACGGTGGTTTCTTTTTGTGCCTTCATCGTTGCGTCATCAACGCCAGTAGTATTACTACAATCTTCCACATCTATCGAATTATTTTGCGCGCGCTCGGGTATTTCAGTTAAAAGCGAGAAGCTTCCAGCTTTTTGCACGCTACCGCTTAGCGCTGCTTCGCTCTCTGTACGCAACAGCGTTGTTCGCCTTTCGTTTATTACCTGCACAGAATCGTATAGGTCATTACTATCGATACTTTGTCGCTCACTTGACGAACGTATAAAGAAGATACTATCGTCTGATTCGTTAGGCAGTTGGGACTTTGGTCGATAGAATGTGCGCGAAGAATTGCTGCGGCAGAGCGATTTATTCAATTCACTTGCTATAGTGGGTTTCACGCTGGATGATGCGAGCGAAAGCGTTTCGGGACGTGCCTTCTTTAGGATGCTATTCAATTTTTTGGGCAGAGGGGGCGGCGGCGACGCACAATCCTCTACTTGGTGCACAGATGTCATCGAAACAGTTTGTATGGCAACGTTAAGCGCATCCGGTGATAACGCTACGCCATTGACGCTGGCAGGCGATTTTTCATCTGTATTATCGATGTTCTCTTCAGGGAAACAAGGTTCCAAGCTCGATTGACCGGATAGTTGGTGTATGGCTGCAGGTGGCTCTGAACAAACGCTTAGTTGGCTTCTGAAATGACGAGTGTACAAGAGTAGATTTTTTATGAAGATTGAAATGCATTAAAAATATACATATGTATGTACATGAGTTTACAAAAGAATATCGAGCACTAACCGTCAAAAAAACATAAGTGGCATTTTTTCGAAACTTTATGTTTGATGCAGAAATTCTCCTAGAGCTACTAGAGGCATTTCTGCATTTAAATGAAATTTTGAAAAAAAAATATCACTTATAGTTGCAATTATAAAAGAGTGTATACAACGGGAGTAGACGAGCTCACCACACAGATATGTAAAAGTCTGAAAAAGTGGTTCCACTACGATCACCTGGGAAACCGTCGCACAAAGGGTATTCATATCATCCTATAACTCTCATTTCCCACTAGTGAAGACACTTGGCACTACCGTACTTCTCGAAAAATTTGATTCCAGCTAAGCAGAATCATCCATAAAGAGCAGAGTACCACCACAGCAATTATTGTCATTAACATTTAGAAAATCTGAGGCCTTAATCTCAATCGCTACGAGTAGTAGTAGAGGCTTGCCCTCTAAGGCCGTACTGAGAAATATCTGGATGGTTAATAGTCATCGGCGATATTTCGAGATCACACATCTACATCACGAAATATTAAGCATGTAATGTAAAGGGGTGTTGTGATATATGTTTATATGTTTAATTTTGTTTCTGGTCCTATTTTACAGCTGATATTCCATCAGGGATGGAAAATTGCATTATAAAATTGTACCTAATTTACGCAAACTTTACCTAAAAGTAGACAGATGTACATAAAAAGTAAATAGGTATTTATATATAAAGAAAAATAGGAGGTTACAATTCCCATCGATGCCATATCAAATTCTGTACACACATTAAACACATTTTTGGCTATGAAAAGAATCTCTTCGAGCAGCGCGAGACAAAACTATGTTGTAGAAAAGGTGAATCACTTTCCTCCCAGTTGTTCGATCTGACGTTTTAAAAAGAAATATTTTGCATCTATCTGGCGAAATCAACTACAGTTGCGTTACTTTGACCACCCTTCTGTATCATTTGTATGCCTCTGCACAAAGGAGGGAAGCTATTAGACCAGTTTCCTGCACCAGAAAATGCATTGAAATGTCAGTAAAAATGAGAACTGAGTTCCTGAGAAGCTATTTGGCTACGTTACAAATGTACCTAAAATTGTGTATTTGTACCGAATGTACTTTCAAAATAAATAAAAGTACGATTGTAACAACTTTTCCATCACTGTAGGTAATCTAACGGCTGATTTCGTACCGCTAATTGTTGTAATTTTTTTCAGGACATAGGTGTTTGGATACCTTAAAAGACCGTCTGTCAAGTAGTTTTTTTGCGCTACTGTAAATACAAAGGCATCGACGGTATGTACGTATGCTGTCCCCATCGGTTGTGTGCAGTAATTAGCCTTATCCGGGCTCCTGGTCCCTCCATAACCTCTTCAGGACACACATAGATTTTTTTTATAGATATTAGTATTGCTTCTGATGATATCTGGCTGTTTCTTCTATACTTAACTTTATAATTGGCTCCGATCGAATTGGACGCCACAAGGAACTGCAGTTCGTCAGTGCATTGCCTTAAACACCATAGTGTCCCGGTACTCAAATGAGTCGTGTTCCATTTCGTAACGGAGTTCAGTCTCAACTTACTTCTACTTTTTCTTGATTGGCGATTAAGCGATTTTGGCCGAGTTCAACAAAGCATGCCAATTGTTCCTCCTAGCTAGCTGGCGCCAATTAGAAACACCGAGTGAAGCCCAGCTGATCGACAGAGATTGAGGCGATGTGAATCTCATGCAGCTCATCAAAGAGCCTAAACATACATACATCATGGAGCGATTCTTGAAGAGGAATAAATAGTTAATAAGGCCTTTAGAGCATATTTTCTGTCATTACAGGCCTTTTTAACAACCAGCTTCCATAAAGTTCCATTTTTAGCCTTGGAAAGTTTTTACCGTGTTCCTCAAGATTGAACTGAGTTTTCAGCGCTAGTTTCCTAGAGTTTCTCTTAGACATTTAATTTTAACGGAAAATCCTAATCCTGTATGTATTCGGGTACATAATCGAGTTCTTTTGTTATCTGTGCGCTATAGATCAGGTAAGGCTAGGCTAGATTTAGTTGGTTGTACGAAACAGGGGCACACTTGTGCTATAAGCATCAGCCTTTTGTGATACTACTATGTTCGAAAGAAAACTGCTAAGCTATAGCGGAAAAAAGCTGTGTGCCAAGAACAAAGTTTCGCAGGCGACAGCTATCAGTTCACGAAAGCTCCGCAAGGCTGGTTGAAAAATTGGATCCAAGGCGTTGTGACTTCAGCTACGCAAAAGCTGGTCAGTTTAAAAGAAATTTGAAATAATTCCACCTAATCGTCCTCTAAGCAGCTGCATAAGAGAGGTTAGTATTACCGCGTGAATACCTATTGGAGAGTTTCCTGCCGATGTCCTTCAGAATTAAGAGTATTTAGGTGCTGCGAGAGCAAAGGAATAGCCCTCCAAATAGCCCTGGTCGATATTCTACCAGAAATACCTTGGAGCTCCACATTTTCTGGTTTTGGACACGATTCCCGTTGGCCCAAGTAGTCAAGATTACTACCACTTATTCTTTCCACGTTGGGACTGGTGCGAGTGTGCCTTTCCAGGCCAACTCAGCCGAGCTGAGAAAAAAATTACTTTTATAAATGATAAATGTTGTACACTTACCTAAATTCCTTCTCCACCGATGGTGTTGCCGATGGTCCTGAACTATACCTCTTCGGTGAGCGCAGTATGGATTTTGGCATGACCTCAGGGCTATGCAAATCAACTTGAATGCGTCGTGAATCGATGCTTGAGGCGCGGCTAGCCATTGATGCGCAGCGTGCCGTCCAGCGGCCGCTATACGATGAGTCTGACATTGTAGAGGATCTGCAGATTGAAAGAAGGAATTTTTGTGAGGAGAACAAATAAAAACAATGAATCTATTTATATGAAAGTTGTGAGGACTGAGATTGAGACAGTTAAACTCATCATAGGCTTTCGGAAACAAAAGAAAAGCAATTTTTTGTTTGCTGCTTTCGATATTTTATATATGTATAGCGAATAAGTCTTTCATTCATTAGGTGACAAAACGTTTTCACTTCCACTCACCTGCGATTGCCTAGCGGACTACTTTTGTCCTCTTCCTGTTCGATGGGCTTTTGTCGTGCCAGCACATGACGTTTAGCTGTGTCCGAGCGACGCGCCATATCGGCTACCGTAGCTCGCGATAACGGCTTTTCCACACGCGCACCATCATCGAAAGAGGCTGCATGCCAGTACAGTTTGTTGGTTGATGGAGGCTGAAGCAACGCACAAGGACCACCATTCTCACGGGTATTGCGTTGCACCAAACTATTGCTAATGCGCGACCCACGCGTCTTTACCTGCCGTCCACTGCTGCTGGTGTGCGTATTGCGATTGTGGTTGTGGTGGTGGTGGTGATGATGATGCCGATGATGGTGTCGGTTACGTTTTTGTTCCAGCAACAGGAGCGGTTTGTGATTCGGCGAAAGCAAATGTGAGAGGTTAGTGGAGTAAGCGATGGGATGGGGGACATGTGTGGAGAGATTTGGCACAGAACCAGTGTGGGTGAGGCGTCGTAGTTGTGGAGAAAAGCGAGCGGATGCGCTAATGAAATGAAAGCGAAAGCGATTTTTTTTGTTTGTTTTATATATAACTCAAATATTCAGAGCTGAGCTGAGCGGTGGTTGGGTTAAAATGGTTTGCTTGCGGGAAGCGTGTAGATAATATGCGTTATTTACAAAGCGTTTGCATGTAGAAAATTTTGGCGCTTAACAAGAAGTTGATGAAATAATGCAATACACAATATTTACCTGAGTGACTTGGAGAATTTGATAAGCTCGGCTGTAAGCGCCTCCCGATCGAAGGGCTGTGGCGTGACCTGAGGTGGCGGTTCGGCGGGTGATGTGCGAAATACGCCGAACTGTTGATCCCAACGCGTGCTTTGCAGTTGAATGCCTGTGTGTTGAAAGGCGCGATTGATTTTTTTTAATTTTTTAAATTTCTGCCTATATATGTATACATATGTATATAAGAAAATTACTACTACTCACCAATGGCACGCCTTTGTGAAGTTGCGCTGCTCTGATTGCTACGCACCGTCGACTTACTGCCGCCAGTTCCGGCACGAAAACGCGCCGGCACCACCTTAGCCGCCGAGTCGCGCGCCTCGAATGTCATAACACAAGAAGCTACAACTATGAAACCACCAAAGCCCATCACAATCGGTCCAACGTAGGATAGGTTGTTGAGATGGAAACCTTTTAGATCATTTTTGACCCTCACCGTTGCATTGCCGCGCAGCTCAGAGCCCGTAGAAAGGTAGTCCGCATAATAGCCTGTTGCAAGTAGGGGAAAAAATTCGGGTATTGTAAACAACAATCAGCTTCGAGGGGTTTGCGTTTTTTTAATTTGTTAAAATCGCGTTCTTGCATTCGTCACCATCCATTTACCTATTATAGCCATACCGGCGCCAAGTACCATCAGCGTTAAGCCCAGTATCAGTGCGCGACATGCATGCCAGAGGCATTTAGATGACATTTTACCGCGCACCACCTGCACATTCCATGTGGCACCCGAGGCGGGATGTGCGCGACGTAGATTACCAATTGCGTGCTTGCGTCGCACTGTGCCGCCACCCGCCCGTCGCGATGGCATCACATCGACTACACTGCTGCGATTTGCTTACACTCTCTGTTGTAAATTTAATACTTGTTATTGTTGTTGTTTCTGTTGTTAATTAATTTTCACTTCAATGCCATTAGTAACTCGTATTTTTATTCAATTAAAAAGGTTCTTTTGCTGCAATTTGGTTCATTTGTGATAAGGATTGTGTTGTAAGTAGTTGTAGAAGAAGCTTTGCAAATGTGAATTTCGCAATTTAAACATGAAAAATATATATTTTAGTACTAGCAAATGTCCGGCGTGCTTTACAGCGTCTTGAAAGTATTTTTGTGTTGTTTAACACCCGTATTGTAATATTTCATTTATTTTATCAATTTAATTAAATAAAATTTTTGAAACAGCTGGCAACTCGCTTAAAAAATTATTTCGGCAGCAAACTTTCCTAAACCCTTTCAGTTTGATACCCATATTGCAATATTCAATTTATCTTATCAACGAAATTAAGTTAAATAAAAATTTTCAAACATGTGGCAACCTCTACAAAAATATTTTCGGCTGTAGCGGTTCTTGAACTCTTTCTTTTGACTGTCTTGCAATATGACTAACTTAACTTTATCAACTTACTTAAACTGCAATTTTCAAACAGGTGGCAACTCTCTAATTTTTGTTTTCTATATGTTAAATTAGGCCTCTAGCAATACATCGATGATGACTGCATGCAATTTCATGCATTAGTTTTCGAGTGATGCGCGTACAAACATACATACAGACAGACAAAAATTCTAAAAATTGTTGATTTGGCTTCTTTTGGTCTAGTATTATTTTTTCCTTAATATATATAGTGTACAGGCATCGACCTGTTACAGTTTTTTTTTAATATTCAATCTTATAAGTTGAGAATATACAAGTGAACATGCATGGCGCTAGGTTAATCAGCATCCTAAACAAACACAATTAGAGGCTGTTTTGCCTAGAATTTACCTACAGCTCATCTGTGACTTTACTAAGCAATGTGTAAAAATAGTTGGAATTCAAATACCAGTGTACTCTATTTGCTTGTCTTAAACGAGTTGTTAATTAGGTCATAGCGTTGCATTTACATACTTATGTATGAATATGCCATAGCCAGTCAAATGCAAATAGTCGCTAACAAATCCAAGCAAATGGCAAAAGCTTGCACGTGTGATGCCTGAATTGGGTCCCCTTCGAATGCAAATGTATGCCATAAGCTCAAATGATTATTGAACTTACTCGTTATTGGTCGTTTGTTACAATTGAAACTTAATTAAAGTCAACAGCAGCAATTGCATTACGATAATAGAATCGTTAGAAAAGCACTTGACATAGTGTGTCATAAACGGCCAAGGTTTGCTTATGGCTTATTGAAAGTGGAACAGCTGAAAAAAATGTACTTATGTATATTGCTGCAGTGATGATAATTTGAGTTGAGTAGATATAGTTCTCCGATGGAGTATGGATATTAAATGTCTATAAAAAGACACATACAATGTCTTGGGCTTGGCTAGCCCTTGCCATCCTGTGCTTGTATTGGCAAGATTCATTGGCACCACTATCGATGTAATAATCGATATTTTTATCGGTTTTGTTATCGATATTTTTATCAGTTTTGTTACAGAAAGGTTTTTCGATATGGTTATCGATTTTGCTATCGATATTGTTAATGATTTTGCTATCACTATTTTTATCGAATTTGTTATGTATAATTGTATCGATTTTGTTATCGGTATTTTTTTTATCGATTTTGGTATCGATTTTGATACCGATATTTTTTATCGATTTCGTTATAGATATTTTTATCGATTTTGTTATCGATATTTTTATCGGTTTTGTTATCGATATTTTTATCGATAATCCTATCGAATTTGTTATCGGTTTTGTTATCAATATTTTTGTCAGTTTTGATATCGATATTTTGATGGATGTTACTATCGATTTTGTTATCGATAGAGTATAAAGATGAAAATGAAGATAAAGGAAAACATAAGTTATTTGTTTTTGTTATTTTATGGCCTTATAACAAAAACAAATAACTTAAGGACGTGGACACCTAAAAGTTAAACATTCTAAAAATAGAATTATTAGCAAAAACCAACAAAACCAACAACCACATGATCAAGTGAATTGCATCAGAATAGCTGCGCTTGATTGTGTTGGCATAACAAAAATGAAAATAAGTGGAAAAAGCAACGATAATTTACAAGGCGAACTTAGCACAGTGCATAGGCAACTGGCCAAGGCGTATTTAACAAGGTGGTGTTGGCCGTATATAAGTAAAAAATTACACTAACAAATTATACGCTGATGTCCATACTGTCATTGGTATGAGTTACAACAAACACATCATTTTGAGGTAATGGCCTCCACGGCGAAAAACTCAGCTGTCGCCCCAACACCACCTTGTTTAATACACCTTGCAACTGGCTGAGTCAGTGTGATCGTCGGTTCGAAGCCTACTGAAAGAAGTCTGATGTGGTGATTTCCGAAATAGCTATCACTTCTACCATTTTTCAATTATAGTTGCTTTTCCACAATAAGTTTTTCATTAAAAACGGCCTCGAGCTCAATAAAAATTGTTGAATAGGAAAACATAAATGTCATTAGAACGAACAGGGTAGAGGTAGGGATCTAGATGAAAAAAGACAAAAAATATAACCTGAAGCAAAAGCAGACGTATGTATGTACATATGTATGTATATTGGTTATGAGACAAAATATATATGTAACGTAAGTCTCACTTCTCCAGTGTGGCCCAGGCGCACTTGCTTAAGTTTTTCTAACAGACGTTAAGCTAAGTCTGTTATGTCCGGCACAAGAAGGCTTTGAGAAACATATTTGTTTTTATCGCTAAAGAAAAGTTTTTTTAATACTTCTCGTCGGCAAGAAGGCCTCGTATACTTTTTATAAGTAGCAGAAGGGGGAGACATGTTAAAAAAGTATTAAACGGATAAAAAAAGTACCAAATTTTTTAATCTAACTCGAATTAACTGCTTAAGTCGTCCTTAATTAATAGATAACATGCACTTCCGTCGAAAAACTCATGTATCCGTGAGAGCTGAGCCACAGTAAAAGTGCCTAGTAAAAGAAGCACGTATTTGTTTAAAAAATTGAATTTAGTCAAGCCTTCTTTTTAAAAAATCTATTATTTTTTGTCATATTTTTGTGTATCGACCTAAATTTGTCTAAACATTAGTATCCGTATGTGGTGGACAAATTCCAACAGAATTTTCTCTACCTTACCACAAAATCTTAGTTTTTTGCCGTATGTTACAGCTTCTATGCTTTTGTCAAAACTTCCATTTAAATACAAGTCATTTTGCTACATAAAAAACGGCTTTAAAGATAAATCTGATCGTCGAGGCCCTATAGCAAGATGCACAAACCACTTTTTTCATTTTACAGGACATTTTAATTTTAATCTACCACAACGCGTATTTTTGAGCCAGTTTTGGAAGTGATATGAGAGGACTAAAAAGGCCCACAAAAACGCTGGAAAGCAGTCAATTCCTCTGGACGCCAACGATACAAATCTTTGGCGGATTAAGTGGACCGGTTAATGCATACCAATTCTTCAGAAAAAATAATAGAATTTTTCACCATAAAGAGTCGCTCCTTAAACAAATTCTGAGAAGAACCGAGCCTAATTGTTGGATTCAGGCTCGAAATTCCAGTCAGATATTTATTTTTATTTTTTTTTTTATTTTTTTAAATAGAATTTGGAGCGAGAATTTTCTCTGCTCAGAATTAAATTTTAAACGCAATTGACTCTGAAATCTTTTGAAGAAGATCAGTGCCATTTCTTACTTGACAAAGTTTCGATTGTCCAGAGTAGTTGTCTTTAAAAGCAGATAGTTGTACACAATTGGCACTTGCATGAATTTATAATTCGAATGAAAACTTTACTTCATGAGATACAGAGATACAGAGATAAAGTGAATGTGTGTACTCTTATATACTGTATACATACATAGTACATGCATGTAGCATAACTATTCATTGTATTGTGCCATATGCACTTGATTTCTATAACTTTTGTATAAAGTTACTCATACGCTCTGTCATTCTCATACTAAAAATTTTCAACAATGAGCACAAAGTGACTGTATGTTAATTATTTCAAAAATTCCTGTAGATTAAAGATAATCTAATGTTGTAATCAGTAATGGTAATCAATGCTTGGCATACTCGTATATTAACCATTACAAAAACATAAAGGGCTGTTTGCAGCTCTCGAGAAAAACGACAAATTCATAGAAAATGAGGCACAAGAAATGGAAAAGAAATTTTTCTTTTATTAAAATTTTCTTTAATGCATTATTTCTGCAAGAAAATATACAGCAAAAGCAAAGTACCATTTCAACCAACAGAAATGACGAAAAATATATCTTTTACACAGCCCTTAACATAATAAAAAAAATGTAAATTGAACAAATTGTATAAATCTATGCACATATTTTGCACTTCAAATGGCTCATTTTATTTTTTTTTATAATTTTCATAACTTAAAACGAAATATCAGCATAAATAATAATTGGAAAACGGAATAAGTAGGAGTCCTTCACAGTCGAATTGTCATTGCCAGTCGTTTTGCGTGTAAGCAACGGCGTATTTTTAGTTAGTAAGGCTACGCATACTTGCATTATTAAATGAAAAATGTCACTAAAGTGAAGGTAAAGAGTGAGGTAATAAATCTTACCAGAATAAGTTAAGTTACCTAAAAAAAAAATTATTAAAAAAATTTTCTCTAAACAAGGGTTAGAAGATTACAAAAAGTCGCAACCTAAAGTAACATGCGTTCGATTTTACACATCGCACTAATAACTTTATCCGATTTAAAGGCCAATTTAGTGAACGTTTTCCAGTAGCCTGGTTTTCGTTTCTATAATATCAAGTTGACCGAGCTTTGCTACAAGTGCATATCCTTTTTGAACTTTTGGGTGTCAAGTAATGGGCATTGGACTAGTTTTGTGGTCATAAGTGTTTAATTTGTAACTAATTTCGAATAGGTGACAACCTTAAACGAATATTCTCGTAGATAACACATGTAGATAACCTTAAAATTTATTTTAAAAATCCCTAATTTATTTGTTTTTTTGGCAATTCAGAAACATTGTTGAGTAGGATTGCCGCCTATTTGCAAACTAAAAACAC